CTCCCCTCCTCCTTTGAGTGACTGATCTCTCCGTTGTTTTTTAATTGTCTCTAACCTTAATGAATGGACGGCTCTGGCGTTTATGAATCGCTTGTCAAGGTTTTAATTAAATATCAGTTTTCTGCAGCAGTCTCTCTAAGCTACCACATAAACCACAGCCATTGTTTTATTCCAACAATATTTGGTGATAGGCTCTAAACAGTGTTAAAATCAACACAAACGTTGTTGTCTCCAGGCTTGTGGTTGCGTTGCTACGGTTACGTGGGCCCCCCAGCACCGCCGTCATAACAAGCGCCCCCGACTGCAGCCCATCGGGTTCCAATTATTGGTGCGTTTTAGAGGAATGCTGGCCTTTTTTCTCTTTTTTTTGCGAGCTTCGGCTCGTTCTTTAAGGTTCAGACCTCCCACATCTTCAGACCTGCAGCAGCAGACGGGGGGCGGACGACGCAGAAAGGATCTTCTTTCATAGCAGAAGTTTTCCAAAAACATCCGGTCCCACTGTCCTGCGTTCTGTTTTAGGCCCAAACTGTGAGGGGTCAAAGTTCAGTGGGTCAAAGCCATTTCCTCTAGGCCTCCACATGAGACTGAGCGCCTTAAACCCAAAGTACTGGAGGAACGAGACGCACACGTTTACTTCTGCTCATCTTATTCGTTCTTTCTGTCTTTCTTCTATTCTTTTGTCCTTTCTTTCTTTGTTGTTTGTCCTTTAGTTGTTTTGTTTTCTTTCGTCCCCTTTTTTTTGTTCTTTTGTACATTCTTTGTCCTTTCTTTTTTCCTTGGTTCTTTCTTTTCTTTAGCTCTTCTTTCTATTCGTTTGTTTTCTTCTTTTAGTCTTTGTTTGTTCTTTGTTCATTTCTTCCTGTGTTTGAATTTTCTTCTTTTTGTTCGCTTGTTTGTTCTTACTTCACTCCCTCCTCCTTCGTTTGTTCTTTTGTTTTTGTTTGTGCGTTCTTCCTTCATTTGTTCCTCCTTCGCTAGTTCTTTTTGTTCTTTCATTCATTCTTCATTCATTCTTCTTTCATTTGTCATTTCTTTGTTCATTTTGGCTTTGTTTGTTCATTCCTCCTTCATTCATTCATTCTTCATTTATTCATTCTTTGTTCTTTTTTGTTCGTTTTTTCCTTCATTCCTTCCTTCGCCCTTTCTACATTCATTCATTCTTCATTCATTCATTCCTCCATTCTTCATTTGTTTGGATTTTGTTCTTTTCCTCGTTCCTCTTCTGTTCATTTTTTTGTTTGTTCTTCGTTCCTGTCGTTCGTTCTTTTGTTTGTACCTTTCTTCCTTTGTTTTTTTCCTTCTTTGTCCTTCATTTGTTCTTTTTTGTTCGTTCGTCCCTTCTTCCTTCTTTTGTTCGTTCTTTGTTTGTCCTTCCTTGCTTCGTTCACTTTCATTTGTTCATTCTTTCATTCATTCTTTTGTTTGTTCGTCTATTTTTCCTTTCATCCTTTGTTTCGTTGAAGTGCTGAAGGAACCGTTTCCATGGTTTCAGACCTCGCTCTCTCTCCGATCCCTGACTTTCCCTGGTTTTCTCGTGCGTGGCGTTGTGGATCATTCCTGTGCCGCTGCGTCTCGATCGCGGCTCTGCTGGTGTTCAGAGTTCGCTGGTACTCATTGTTCTGGTCCTGATGGACCACCTACCTCAACACATATAATTCCCCTCCGGTATGCCAAGCATGTGAATAAAAAGGTTGAACTCGCATGACAAATGGAGCAAAATAACATCCATTTAACTGTCTGTGAACATTTGTTCAGAACCACAGACTCGTCTTTAATCATCTTTAATTTATCTTAAGTATTTGAAAGAATAAGATTTTATTTCATTTTTGTACTTTTAACCCCTTTTCTGTGTTTTTTGTTGGGATTTGATGTGATGGAGCAACACTTGAGTTGTGAAGCGTACGCTACAAATCTTTTTGCAAATCTGAATAGTGCGGTGTGCACTTCATTTAGCAGAAGCATCTCTACACGCATTTACACTTGTAAAACCTTTTAGATATTTCTCTTCCAGCTTTCCACTTCAGTTTATTTCAATTAGGTGTTTTCAAGGCCTGGAAAGTTCTTGATTTCTGTAAAAAAAATTCTTCAAAGTGTTTAATAGTTTTGTAATAATCCAACATTTGATGCTTTCATACACCTAATAATAAAACGGATACATTTTTTTCTGACTGTCTGAAGTGAAATCAGACCAAATTTCTCTTGTTTTATGTCAGTTATAGTTATAATAAATTTTTTGTTGTTGTGACTTTTTGAGTAATTCAGTTAGTTTTAGTTAGTTTTTAGAGTGCATTTGCTTGATTATATTTATTACTTAAATATTGTTTATTTTTAGGTTCATTTTTATTAGTTATTGTAGTAGTTTTTGATTTTTTTTTTTCCTACTTTGGTTAATTTTGTAGGTGCACTATTCAAAAAGGTTGATTCATCAATTGGGTAATCCTCAACAGAAGAAACAATTTTCAAAAAAATGTATTTAATTGTTGAACAATCAGCTGACTGCTGTTTCCTCCAAACTTTTTGTTCAGTAGTGTAAATGCTGCCAGGAGGAGTAGCTGACATAAACTGTTTGTTTTGGGAAAAATAATCTATTTCACACCTGTTCATGAAGCTAATAAATTGATTAAAATGTACAGAAACAAAGGATATTATGTGTAGTTTAAGTATGTTTTAGTTCCAGTTAGTTTTTCCTTTTTAATTCCCATTTTTATGAATTTCAGTTAACAAAAATATTTTCTCAATTTCATTTGTTTTATTTTGTTTTGTCTTTAGTCAGAGGCTTCTTAAAATTCGCTGTAATACAGACTGCTACAGCAGCCGCCACCATCAACAATAAGTCTTTGAAGAATTTTGAGTTAATCTGAGTTACAACAACATTTAATTTCCCTTTGGGAAGCGTTTTTGAATTTGAATTAACCACTTTTGACGTTCCCTGTCGCTGCAGGACTGTTTGAGGGCGTGCCAGGAGCAAATCGAGCGTGTGCTGGCCTCCAGCCTGCAGCAGGGCCAGCAGTATGGACCCGACAGCGCCGTCAGAGGTGGCAGCAAGTCCAGGGAGCAGCAGGATCAGTCGAGCACCCCCACGGACGTGCGCGACGTCAACTTATGAGCTCCCATCGCCGCCTTACTCGGCCACCGCGTGCCTGCTTACCAATGAACTGACAGGAGCGAGACGCTGGAGGGAGAGAGGGGGCATTAATTGCCAGTATCTATTTTAAGTTGCCCCCTTCAGTGATGGTGCGACAATCTATGAACTTTTAGAAACTAAGAAATTTGTAGTTTATCTCCTTCTTTTTTGTTTTGTTTTTGCCCCATTCACACCTGGTTTGGGTCTTTTTTCACCTTTTTTGTACACGTCTCTAGCTATTTAAGAAAAGAAACGGACGAATAATTGTTGAAGACTTGATAGTGCCTTAGGTTCCAAAAACCTGAAAATATTTTTTCATACTTGAAAATTGCATAAATATATGAGATATACCGAATGATGTATATTTAGCCAGCATTTATAACTCTTTAATCAGCTTTAGTGAGTAGTAATCGATTTACAGGAGTTTTCCTTTATTTGGAATTCCATATAGCAGTAATTAAAGCAGAGGAGCGCTACCGTAGCTAATGGCTCCGTCTATCATACTGTGCACCTGTAGCACTGCTTATTATTTATGCAGAGAGGTGCTGGCTCAGAGTGGGCTGGGCCTGCTCATGGAGGAGAAATGAAACAGGTTTGAGGTCCGGAGCAGTCGCTGCTGTTGACTCCATGAAGTGGCGTTTGAATTCACCAAAGCCACGTTGTTGTTTTTGTTGTTGATGTTGTGTTCAAGCACAGTTAGGAGTGTTTAAATAGCTCAGAAGGGGTTAGCATTGATGAAAGAGTTTTAAAAAAATAAGTTTTTGCAAGTTCTTCAAGGTTTTAGAGGCTGAGCAGTTTGTTGGGAAGGCGAGTCGAAAGCGAGTGGAAAGTGGTTGTAAAGTGAGCAGAATGTGGGGTGAAAGAGAAAGCAAGGAGGATTTTTTTAAGCTTTATGATGTTTCTGCAGGATTTTGTTTTGCAGGAAATCGGCGAAATGTCGTTTTTGGGGTTTTTCTCCTGTAATCAATTACACCATTGGGCCTTTTGTAGAGAGGGCGACGTGGAACGATATCAATGCACTTTTAAAACACACTCCTTAAGTTTCGGTAAGGGGATGGTTTGTGAGGACAAGTTCGGAGGGGTCATTTGTTTTTATTCTATCTTTTTCTTTTAAGTTATTTGGGTTTTTTCTGGGCTGGATTCCCATGGGGTGAAGCATATTGTTTTGAATGCTTTGCCTCAATTGGTGAGTAGACTTATAAAAATCACCCTCCTAATGTAAAAGTTTATAAATCAAGGCAAGCCACAGGTAGACATCAGTGCGCTTGTGTCATCCTAAACTTGAATTTATTCCATTTCCAGATTTAGACCCATTCCACTAGATCTAATAGTTACATCCTTCTGTTTTGTGTTTTTCTTATTTCTGATCTGCAGTTTCTTTCAAAGGCGCCCCTTTGACACGTGTAAATAACCGACAAAAATGCTTGAAATCCATGTGACATTTTAAACCCGAAACTGTTTCTCGTTTGTTCTGATGCCTTTTTTGATGTGCAAAAAAAAAAAAAACAGCCAAATTGTTTTAAATAAAAATGCTTTAAGTTTGAGCATGTTTAATGCTTTTATGTTTTTTCCAAAGTAAAAAAAGAAATAATCTACGACATTCTTTGCTGCTATTAAGCTTTTTCTTTTCTAGTCTTACACAAAAATGCCTTATTGTCATTCACTTGTGTGCTGCTATATTTTAATATGTTGTGTATGTAACAAGTCTGCTTTTCTCTGTCAATGTACCAGAGGGAAAAGGAGCAGTTTGGTGCGGGACTGGAAATCTGTTTTGATCAGCATGTTTTATTCATTTATTGTTTTAATCGTTGTAATCTGTTCTATCTTTGTTCTGTCAATATTCTTGCTGCTTCTTATGTACCTCAGGATAATTAATTGGATAGACACAGCGAGAGGCCATCTCACAATTACCTCATCACATGTCGCATCACACAGAATGACTTCACTCCTAAATCGTCGGACGGGTTTCACTTTTTTTTCTTTTTTTCCTGTATGTTAATAAATCCACCTACCAGATTCCACTGATTTTTTTAAAAAGTGCCTCCAGCCTACTTTAAAATGGCTAATTTTCATATCTGGTGCTAGTTAAAAATAAAAAGCCTATACTGTGTTTTATATTTGTCCGAAAAAAAAATCCATTCGGGGAACAAGTTTGGATCAGTTCAATGTCATTTATTTTTATCGAGGTACCCATTTACTCGATTCTACAATTGTTTGCTGTGGTTGTTCATACAAATCCTTTTCCCATTTATCCCCATGTGCAACCACCTGTGTACCTCAATAATTTGTTCTAAATAAATTGGCTAAAATCACTGGTGTGGCTTGTCTTTCTGTTGTAATGTTTAGCTGCCACCAGGGGGTGCTAAAGCTGTCAGGAATAATACAAAAGAGAGAAAAAGTGAGAACCAGCTTCATCATTAAAATGGTAAAGGTTAACAGAAGTAATGCAGAGTAATGTGAGGAAGGAGAAGAAGAAGCAGAGTCTAGAGGTCAGTAATCTAAAACAGGTGAGTGGAAATCGAGAAGAGATGTCTGAATTTCAAAATGGCGACGCCAATAAACATCATTTAAGCCTTACTTTCCATAGACAAACGCCACTTTTACTTTGTTCAACTTAGAATTGCAGGCGCTACGTGTAACATTGATTTTAGGTGCATTTTTACACGTCTGTCTTGTAAAATAAACACGTTTTTACCATCTCTTACTGATGTTGCTGCAAGAAGAAGTGGCCATATTGAATTTGAAACACGAAGTTCGGCTTACAAGTCGTAACTGAGGGTAGTTGGAGTTGCTTCCAGTTTTCCAGTGACAGATGCGACTTCCCACTGGAGGAGGTTCAAGTTGATTTTTCCAACTGAGAAGTCGGAACTCATATTTTGATATAAATCAAATTACATGACCATTTAAATATTTACTAACACACTTGATATAATTGTACCTAAGATGGTTATAAAATTGCATAAGTATATTGTATAAATCATTTTTTCTCCTTAAAAAATATTGCGTATTAGAATAAATAATTACCTAGCTAGCCTTATATCCTGGTGTATCAGTACACACATCAGTTTGTCTTACAAAGTAAAAACTAAAGTCAATATAACTCATTAAGTCGTCATAATAGATAAATATATATATTTCAATTATTTATTTTAATTATTTATTCGTCCTTTCAAACCACATTGTGTTTAAATTATTTTATAAAGTCGCTCAACGTTTAAAACTCGCATTTTAATTTCAGATGGCTCCCACGCAATGCGTCATGACAGAAGACGCTACGTCCTGTGACGTATGACTCAACCAGGAAGTAGCTGGGGAACAGCCGGTGAAAATGGCAACGTTCACGCTAATGTTCATACGCCAGTAAGTTGGTCTTTTAACGGCTCGTTTCTGCTCCGGTTGTTTAAATTTGCAGTGTATATATGTGGCAAATGAACATGGAGTTAATTTTACGAGTTTATTGGTGAAATAATGTCGACTAATATGAAGTTTGACTGTGTTCTGTCACTAACTGCCTCAGAATAATGTGACCCATTTAATTCATTCACTTTGTTTTCAAACAGTGGGGAGACGCAGTACAACAGAGACAAGCTCCTGCAAGGTAAATCATACTAATGAGGATTTGTGTATTAAACTCAATTTAAAAACGGCTTTTAAGTTTAGGTTACAGGAAAATGGGGTTTATTTAACATGTTTAGTACACCTACGGGCAAACAAAGGTGAAGGAATGAGCCGATTTGGGAATAATTTTATCCAAAGGTAAAGCAGCAATGGACCTGTAAATCATCCCATTTTTAAATACGACGACTATGGTTTCTATTTGCGTTTCCATTACAAATGTGGTCAAAACTTCGTCAATGTAGGAATAAAAGACATACAGTTGAGGTATTTCTATTGAAAAAGAAACACAGTTAAAATTACATGTGAATAAGTTTGTTCATGTGATATACCTTGTCACGATCATCCAACTACTTCCTGTTGTTGTCTTCTTCCTGCTTTTTAATGCGGAAAAATGTGTTTCTATTGCAGTATTGAGAAATAAACCAATTTTGATACTTTTTTATTTTCAAAATTATCTGTTTCCCTTAACCAAACTTATTTCCAAAATGTCAAATTTCGCAATTATTTGGTCAATGGAAACAATTATGAATGTTGATAATTTCATATTCAAAAAAATCTACAAAATGAATAAAAAAGTGATGGGGGAGGGAATTGGATCTAAGAAGCTGGAGGTTGGTTTGACTTGAGAGAAAAGTCTGTCCAGCTATTAAAATGGTTGCAGGTGAAAATGCGATGATAGTCAAACCATTTATTTAGCATACATAGCATGTACAAATCTAAAAATATCAGCAAAAAGATAACTGTTTTTACCTTATCTTTTAGACATTGAGTGTGAATTGAAACTTGTAATTTGGTGGGCGGGGGTTTCTGTTAATTAATGAAGTCTAGCTTTTCCTCAGGCTGAATATTGTCTGCTTTCAGGTCAGGGAGTGGACACGCCTCTGTCAGAAACAGGTGTGCAGCAGTGCGAAGCTGTGGGGCAATACCTTAGAGACATCAAGTTCTGCAAAGTGTTTGTTAGTAACCTGCAGCGAGCTGTGCAGGTAAGACTCGATGGCATTAAAATATGTGGAGCTAATTTGGACATGTATCTACTTGTTTTCAAAGCATCTGCCGTCTGAATGGTAATTTGCATTTTATCTGACTTTCATGTCATTAATGTGAGTTTCTATGCATCATAATTCTACACCAGAATAACCAAACACAGTAAATCTGGACGTAAACAATGGCTGAAGTGAAGATTATGAACTTAAAAAAGAAGTCTGTGTCACTGAAATGCATCACAATCACACCACTCTAATAAGTGAGTAAAGTTTATTTTATAAAGCAATTTTCACAGACATAAATTCACAAAAGTCCTGTAGAGTAAAAATTAATCTTAAAACAAGCATAGGAAACATAATGGGTGTAGTGAATATTGAACCAGAGTGATGTGGCTGAATTTACTGGATTTGGGGGGGAAAAGTCTGGCTGCTGCATTCTGTTTGGATTACCAACGTGAAATTGAAGACTAGAAGAAGCATTACAGGAGTCTGGAAACTGATATGACACACAAAAATGAATATTTTCCTCTAGGTCAACTCTGGAGACCATATGTCACATTTGGGAAATGTTTCTGAAAGAAACAAGAACAGGAAATGTTCTTAATGTGTGACTAATGAGCCTAATGATGAGTCAAATGTGACAATGTGAGACTTTTCACCTCCCAAAAACTCTGATCTGTGCCGCTTCCATATGTGGGACAGACTCGACTCTCTTGGCTCTGACTACAGATTTCTCTACAGAAGTTGTGATCGATGCTCCACAAAAAGCCGTTGCTATTAGTTGTGTTTTCTTTTTCTTAGCTTTCTTTGTGTTGCTATGGTCTTGTGACAATATTATCGGCTCCAATTGCAGAATAAACTTTAAAATCGATCTTCTGTGCATGCAGGTCAGTTTGGGATTTAACTGGTAATATGAACGACCATGCAAACAAACAAAAATAGATTTCAGCACAAAAAGTTGGAATTGAACATTAAGACCCAGACTGTTTTTGCTCAAAAATCCTCCATCCTACCAGGAGATTCTTCCTCCACAGATGATTTGATTAACCATGGATTAGCAACATAAGGCATGATTCTGTTATTTTTACCAATTCCTGCCTATTCCTGTCATCTTCATGGTATCCATGGAAAATCAGTTGAAGCTCATGTATGTCTCATTAGTAAGACAGAAAACAGGATGAATGACTTATAAATGAAATAGTTGTTTGGATATTCATGTTTCTGTGGCTGTTTGACTCACTCCTGCTTAATATTGTCCAGTCCAGGATTATATCTTTGGAGTCATTCATTTCCAGGTTGTTTGTCTTTTTTCTAGACAGCGGAAATAATTTTGAGGAACAACACTCACCGTTCTGGTATAGAAATGATTTTGGAGCCCTTACTCAGAGAACGGGTAAGATCCGCTCAATTTAAAATAAAAAATAAAAACTGGATGTGTTTTAGTTTTTTTTCCTGGGTTCGGTTCTGAGCTGAGTTGTTCTGGTCCAGGGTTTTGGCGTGGCTGAAGGCCGTCACAAAGAGTATCTGAGGAACATGGCGAAAGCAGCTGGTCAGTCCTGCCGTGATTTCACGCCGCCAGGAGGAGAAACTTTAGATCAGGTGAGTCAGAATTTCAGTCAATTTACTGAAAAACAGCGACACGCAGTGGCCACCGTTGGGTATTGCAATAAAATAACTTGGCCATTCTTTCAAAATCGCTTTTTAAGAATAAAACAATACTGAGAAATTGAATTATTCCATGTTGAAATATAAATTTAAAGCATTGATTATTTGTGTTTATTTCTTTTTGTTCTTATAAAAATCTTTTTGGAGCTTTTATACTTAAAATATGTTGATACAATTGTTGCGTCAACATCCCTTCCATCAAGTAAATACATCCAAACTTCGGTTTCCTTCATTGAGGACAATTTTATGCTCTTTTAACTGATTATCCACATTGCTTTAGTTGCTCAGAAACCCATAAAACCTATTAAAAACCTATTAAACTGCAGTTTAAAATGTATGTCAAGATGGAGGTTTCTGGTGAAATTTCCTTTAACTAAAATGTTCAAGAGCCAGAAAGGTAGATATCAAGATATTTATGTGTAAGAATGGCCCAGTCAAAGTCTAGATTTAAACCCAATTCAGAATCTGTGGAAAGATAGATGTTGCTTTGTAAGAACAGGTTAAAATCTCAGTGTGGACCTGTGCAAAGCTGGTAGAGACACACATGGAAAGGCAGCAAAAGCATTAAATAAGAAGACTGAGAGGATTTTTTTTCCACACTTTTAAATTTTAATTTGTCGGAAATACTTAAAACCATGCATCATTTGCCTTCTACTTCATAATTATCCACTACTTTGTGTTGGTTTCTCAGATAAAATGCTAATAAAATGAAATTGTAACTTCTCAAATGGGAAAACCTTTAGGTGACTTGAGTGGTTCAGCACTGGAAAAACACAAAAAGTATTTTTGATCTAGTTTCTAGTTCAAATATCTTCACTTGAAATAAGACAAAACTAACTTACAAGTCACTTTTCAGCAAGAAATAAGGTATTGATGAAAAGTTATGGCATAAGTTATAATTTGGGGAAAATGTCTTGTTCTAATGGCAATTAAGGAATTATTGATTTAAAACAAGCTTTTTATTTTTACTGAAAAGTTTCTTATAAGTTAGTGCATTTGAGACAAAATTGATTTATTTGCACAAGAAAGTGGACCAAAAAAAAACTTTGTAAGTTTGAGTAACTATTTCTTTGTTTGGTTTTTTATTTTATTTTATTTTATTTTTTTTTATTTTTTTTTGCTTTTCTCTGCATGTAAAATCCCTAATAAAGAGAATAAAAACAAAGACTGCTGAGTTTTCTTCTCGCCAGTCATGTTCAACTTTTAGCTTCCCTGTCGCTTGATTCCAGGTGAAGCAGAGGTTCAAAAATTTCCTCCAAGTTCTTTTTAAACAAATGCTGGACGATCAGGAGACGCCCGCAGACGTCGCCTCCGCCAACGACGGCCACCAGGGGGCGTCGGCCCACGTCTTGGTGGTGAGCCATGGCGCGTACATCCGGGTGGCCGTCAGGCACCTGCTGGAGGACTTGAGGTGCGTCCTGCCTGCGGGTGTGAAGATGTCGCAGCTGCTGTTGCCGTGTCCCAACACGGGCGTCAGCCGCTTCGTTGTCACTCTGAGCCGGAGCGAGTCGGGTCCGCTGCTCTCTGCCGCCCGCTGCCTCTTCACCAACAGGAAGGAGCATCTGGAAAACCTGGCGCCTCCTGAGTAGCAGAGAAGAAACGGAGAAGATTGGAACTTCCTGAAACGAAATCAAACTGTTCTCTCGATAATGGGCGTGTTTTATTGATTACCAATGATGGGAAATATTTTAAAAGTTGCATCTGTAGGGAAAAGCACTGCATTTATAAACTTTTATAATTTAATACCAAAGTTGAATCTATTTATTTTGTCTTTGAGTTCAGATGTTCTTCATTCTACTTGCGCAACAAACTGAAGACCTGAATCATGGTAAAATATCCTGGGTAAAAGATTGTAGAGACACTGTGCTACACTTTATTTGTCATATATGTGCCTGTTCGTTTGCTGTGGGGTGTTAAATTATTACTTTTGTTAAATTTCAAAATGTTTTATAAGCTAAATGATTGAAACCTCGTTGTCTTGAAAACAAAACCACCAAGTTAAACTCAAACTGACAACTTTCAGCTCCGTTCAGACATAATCGCACAAAAAAAAAATTAAGGAATACCTCTTTAACAGATTTAGGTTATTAATGAACGGAGATGTTGACACTCCTGTTAAAAATGTGCCGAAAGCCTTCAAATAAATAAATCTTTTACTGCAGCAGCATAATCCTAACTGGGAGAAAGTGAAAATTAAACCTTCAATTTTTGTGCACTAACTAATTATTTTCTCTAAAGTCACAAATTTTAGATCTGTTTGTATCTTTAGCAATTCCTGTTAAAGATGACTGACTCCTTCTTTTTATTTCTATTTAACATTTTAAATCATCAGTTTTTAGGATATGTCATCAATAATAGTAATTAATTGATTATGAATTTAACAGAATTTTTAATCAAATTTTTGTACTTCAGAAAACAAGAGAACATGCCATTTAAATAATGTTCTGTAGAACATGGTTTCAGACAGGAACAAACAGAGTAAACAGTCTTGAGTTTGATTCTTATTTTAGTTTTGTCAGGATGTTGATCGGATTCAGAGGTTGCATCAGATATCACAGGTTGCCTTCTAAACTCTCCTGTTTACGCTTTGAAATGCCTACAGAAGAGGGTTAGGGCCACTGAAAGAAATATTCTCACTTTTTATTACAACTTTTTGTGCTGAAATCCTTTTTTTTTTTTTTTTTTTTTGGTTGCCTGGTCGTTCATATTACCAGTTAACCCCCAAATCGACCCGCATGCACAAAAGATCGATTTTAAAGTTTATTCTGCAATTGGAGCCGATAATATTGTCACAAGATCATAGCAACACGAAGAAAAAGCAAACACAACTAATAGCAACGGCTTTTTGTGGAGCATCGATCACAACATCAGGAAACAGTCAGAGGTCTCAGAAAAAACCCAGAATTTTGAGATTAAAATTAGAATTTTAAGAGAAAAAAAGATGAATGGGGAAAAAAGCCAACTCTGATTATTTCTTAATATTTATACCCACCAGTACAATTGTACGTAAAAAAAAAAATTGTGTAAAAATTTGTGCTGCTGCAATAAAACAATTTATTTTAAGCCATTTTACATATTTTTTACCAATAATTGTGAAGGTTGTTGAATGTTAATCTTAAAAGCCTTTTCACTATTTAACAAAACAATCCAAATAAAACAATAAGTGAACCTAAGATATAAGTTTAGTCAACAGTTGACATTTTTATTAACTCCAGTGTAACCGGGACTCTGCAATAAAAATTTTCTTTTAATGTGAAAATCTCATTCAGGTGTTAAAAAGTATTTAATGTGATTATGTGTCACATTGTTGTGATGTTATGTGAGTGGAAACCTGGAGAGCGCTTGAGGTAGCAGACAGACCCTGAAAATGCTTCCTTTTCTCTTTATTTTGCACCAAATTCAAGCAAATCTCCATCAACAACAACTCCATCTCATACATTCAAAAGTAAACCTTTTATTTATTTATTAGTTTGTATGTACATCATAACTGTAAAGCGTCCTTATAAATACCATAAATAACAATAAAGGAATGGATTTAAATAAATAAATAGTGTTAGGGTTGTTTTTGTTCTGCTGGGTGTCCAGCACCTGATTATTTATCACACAAGAGGTCAAATTTGAGCTCAAAATTTTGACTTTGTTAAAGTTTTTACCCTGTAGTCACCTTCTTTTCAAGTCATGTATTGGATGGTGGACAAATGCAGTTCAAATCGACATTAAATAATAATCTGCTGTTAAGGTTTATCAAGTAACAAAAAAATCTGGTATGTAAAAGCAGTAAAAATAAAACCCCAACTGTACTAGTAGCTACTTCTACGTATATTTATATGTACATTTAGATTTTAAGCAATGCCTGGCTGGCTTCACACCAGCAGACGGGCCCTTTGGTCCTCCAGAGGTAGGATAAGTCAGGCTTCGGACTTTGTAGGTTTGTTAGTGAAAACCCCCAAAGTACACATTTACGTTTGAAAATATTCTTTCTACTGAGCTTTGTTATTTTTGGAGAAAAAAAAAAATCACGTAAATACATGGAATATAATTACGTTTTGGGAATTTAACTAAGTATCTAAACTACTATTTAAAAAAAGACGAAATCTAAAGATCTGATCTTGGTAAATGTTACAGATTATTTAAATATAATAGAAATTGTGCAAAAGTGATTGCAACTCAAGTGAAATGCTCCACCTTCAGCGTGTAAACACTGCTTTTCTAAATCATTCACCAGCAGTTTGGCCTAATCTAAAGACTTTAAAGTAGCAGAATGTAACTTTTATAATTAAAAAAGGGTTTTTACATATTTGTTGAAACTCTCTCCACGTCATAACAGTTTATGAGGCAGATAATCTATGAAAAGATCAATCTCCTCCACCTCTTTCCCGGGCTGCTATGGCCTTCTGAAGAAATGCAACCAAAAACAACCAATCAGAGCCAGGAGGAGGGTCTTAGTGCTGTCAATCAGCTCATGTACTCTGCTAAATGTGCTAATGTAGGAGAAACATCGTTACAGGAAAACGATTTATCAGCAGTCATTTGTGTCATTAATGATACATAGCATTAGCATTCATGCAGAGAGGTGATTCGCAGCGCTAAGACCCGCCTCCTGGCTCTGATTGGTTGTTTCTAGTTAGCTCTGGGAGAAGACAGAGGAGCCAGATTTTTTTTTGTCTCATCCTGTCAGAACATAGTAACAGTTTCAACAAATATGTAAAAATATGTATTTTTAATCAAAGTTCCATACTGCAGCTTTATGAGTAAGCTCATCCCACGGTGCCGGTGATCCGGGGGCTAGCCTGTCTGGAAGACTGCACGTTCCAGGGGTCGTGGTTGGACGGAGCCTGCTGCGGCGTCTCCCTGGAGGCGTTCACCCCGTCGTCCCCAACCTCAGTCTCCACCTCCATCTCCAGGTCTCCGTCGTCCTCTCGCACGGCCCTGGAGTCCGAGCCGTCCTCGGTCTTCAAGATGAGGGCGTTGTGTGGGTCTGAGGGGTCCACCACTTGGTTCCTCTTCCCCCTGTTTAGCAGGAGGCGCTCCAGCGGCACCGTGTTCTTCTTTGGCAGGAAGAGGGCGGTCTGCGGCACATTCTGGCCCGCTACGTACACCTGCCGGGAGCCCTCCAGGTTGAACAGGATGCTGTTCCTGGTGGAGTAGTATATGTCACGGTTGTTCTCCAGAAGCTTGTGGTTGAACAAACATTCCTCTCTGAGACAAACAGACTGCAAAACGAAGAAGTTTTTGACATTAATCACCACTTTGGTTCATTTTGATAACAGTGTTAGAGGAAAAACTTCAGCTGCGTAACTTCTAACAGCCAGCTAAGCTAGGTTGGCGCATTTGTTCTTTGGTTACCTAGCAACAACTCACTCACTCTTGTTGCCGAGCAACACCCTTTTGAGTGACTTGCGTTGTTGCACTTTAAGGTTTAGTCACTATGCTTCCTAACTGCTTAAAATAAAAAAAAATAAAAAAAAACAGGAAAGGTCACGCCACCAGTTTGGTAGAATTTCAAATATTTAAAACAACAAAACTAATCAATAATTATTTATATCAGTCGGTATCAGCCATATCGTCCAGCCCGTTACTAAATATGGATTCAGTTCAAAGTGTTTCTTTTATCAGTCTATATTGTAAATAATCTTTGAATAGAGCTACATTTTTGTCACTAAAAGTGTTTTATATATATATATATATATATATATATATATATATATTCGTAAATGTATCAAACAGTAAATTTAAGATCTATGATGATGACTGTATTAGTTGAGGAAGTTGTACAAATTTCAGAGTTGAGGGTTTTTTTATTAGCATACACATGAATTTTGAAGTTATGAAAATTAGTCATTTAAATTATTTTCTACGAGCTACTGTCTTAAGTTTATTAAGTTGTCAAACTAAAATAAATGTAATAAATTAGCTGAGATAGACTTTTTCAATAATCGAAGCAGTTATTTAAGTTGAATCAACTATTTTTTCAGTGAAATTTGTTTAAATTCAACTTGTTTTGTTTAGTAATGTTAAACATTTAAAAGATTTTAAAATGTCTGCAATTGAAACAATTTTCAATTTTATTTGACTTATACATGTGAGGCTGAACAGCTAAAACACAATTAAATTAAATTTCCAATATTTTAAAATTGAACCTAATGAAACTAATTAAGTTCTAGTTCATGTTAAATAGAAACAAAAACGCATGATAGAGGCTTAAACCGGTTGTAAAATAAAAATACATTATTTAAATTTACTGTTTTGTTGAACTTGAAGGAATTTGATAAGGAGTTGTAATTGATTTGTGAGTTTTCAAGTGACCCCAGTACCTTAGAAACTTAAAATTATTTGTCCAAAATCTGATAAAAACTGAAATGAAGCAGTTTTATATGAGCTATTTCCCCCCCTGTAATAAACGTTTCGTTACAGCACAACGACTTTGAAAGAAAAAAGTAGGAAAAAAATAGTCAATCAATGAAAAGTTCTAGATGTTTTCTCAGATATTTCTGGAAATCCACAAATTAATTCAAATTAGTTCAACTTCATTTGTTTAATAACAGTTATAAAAAACGTACAAGTAAAGGAGTGTTTAAGTTACATTAAAGCACTTAAATGATTTTCCGAAACGCAGAAATGTAAAACAATAATTGGCTTGAAACTTGGCAAAAACAGTATCTTCAAATTGCAATAATCTTTAAACAATGTTTTGTTGGTTTTTGCGCAATTTACAGTTAAAATGATGATAGTCCTTAGTGAGAAATGTCCTGCTGAAACTACGTTTGTGTACCAGAGTAGAAGACGGCGTTACAAGTTGTGCGTAAAGTTGTGCCAAACGCGCACAAAACAACGGTTTAAACAACTTTCGAATGACATTAATTGCGACAAATTATATTGTGAAGGAACAATTAAATTAAAAATATATTTAAAAAACGAATCAATTAAGATAAAACGCGACGATAAGAAGTGCGTCATGGTAGATAAATTCCGCAAAAACAAACATTTAAAAGGGAAATTTACTGAAAAATTTATTTTTCGGAGGTTTAGTAGTGACTTAAATGACTGGATGCTTACCGAGGTGTAGGAGTTGCCCTCTGAATCCATACACAGGTAGCGGTTGCTTTTGACTCCGAAGATGGCCAGGCGCTCCCGTGTTTCAGCTTTCAGTAGAATTACACCTGCAGGTGAAAAAAAAAATCGACTTTAGTTGTTAAAGACCGATATTTTTTCAGCCTTAAAGGCTCAGATTCATGTGAAGCAGAGCTTACTGTATGACGTCCTGGACGTGGCTCTGCGCACCGCGCCGTCCGGCCTGATCTCCAGGTAGAAGGTGCTGAGGTCCGTGGAGGTCTGCAGGTGAACGTATCTCCTCGGGTTTCCCCAGTTGGATCCAGCCAGCGGGGACGGGTTCGGGGAGGCTTCCCCGATGAGGAGACCCTGCAGGACGGCGAGGAGGAGCGCCCTCATCCCTGGTCGCTTGCTGACGTTCATCCTGCTGGTTTCCACTGGGAGCTCTGTTGCGCCCAAGTTTGGGGACTGCACCTTTTTAAACCCCTCCGAGCGCCACTCCTGCTAGGAAAAAAAAACAAAACAGTCGCCCCCAAAGATGTGCGGGCTGCTGCAAACGGAAGGGCCACTTCCACCTCGGTGTGTTTATCCCAGAGCTGTTGGTCAAACACGACTCGTATTTTTGGTTACACGTCTTTCCTCCTCCACTTTAAACTGTTTATTAATAATCCTCCGGTTCAGGTTGTCATTTAGAGTCACTTTATAAGATAGTGCAATTATAACAAATACTCAATATTGACCTTAAACCGTTTAAAATAAAATTACAGGGTTTTTTGTGTGTGTGATTTTAGATTAAAGTGAATCCTTCAAATGACATTCTTGGCAACTTTTGCTCAAATATTATAAACGCACTAGACTGTCGGTCCTATTTCTTACTTTGACGCACCTGCACGTCTCCACATTTCCACTGTTTCACCAGCAGATGGAGACATTCCCTTACTCAGGATTAATCCTACAAAAGAGGCTAAAAAGCTGGATCTTATTGAAAGAATGCAGAAACAGGAAACAGTAAACTGGCTATAATTATGTTTTCTAAGAAAAAAAATGCCTGCTCTCGAGGAATTGAGCTTCTGTTTTTCTGTAGAAATTTAAATCTTTTCCACTTTTAATTTGGTTACTTCTACCAACCTAAATAAAATTGTGCAAAATATAAATAAAAATGAAATTGAAAATAAGACTTGGCAAATAAGTTTGATTTCACTGTGGATGTTTTATTTCTTGGTGATATTTTGTACTCTTCTGAGAAGTGAAGTGATTGAGTTCTTTGGATTCATGCCGCTTTTATGTATAATTTGTACATTTTTCACCATTATGCTGGGGAGTTTTTGTGTCCTTAGGCTGGAAAACCTCATCTTTACTTTTGCAAACTTTCATTGAACCATAAAACTTTTCTCCAGAAAGTATTTGGCTTGTGTATTTGGCTCTGTGGATAGCAGTGTGTCCTTTGGTGTTTCCTGAACAGTTTTAAACATTCAAACTAATTTTCTTTCTTCTGAGGGAGATTATCGGGGATGAATTGTTTAAACTTACACAATCGAGAGTTAAATTATCCCAAACAAAAATAAAAGACTGTTCATTACTGTTTAGAATTGCCTTTTTAAAGCCCCAAAATCCCTATTATGTTGAAAATTTGCAGATAAAGCATAAATGTTTTATCAGTTCAGAAGTTTCTTGATGGAACAGCAAAGCAGGTTGCTCAGGACTTTGACTTTTTTGTGACCCTCGTTTTGTAACGATTGTTTTTGAATGCTGTATGTAAACTTCTGAGCCGCACTGTTTTTCCTAGTTCTAGAAAGAATGGGAGAATGAAAATCACTTGCGTTTCCAGATTCTGTCTCATTTCCTGGAAAATAAATAACTCAAACAGCTTGTATTGTCTTTTTATGCTGGTTATATTTTTTGAGAGAAACGTGTGCAGCGGCTGCTTACTAAGCAACTCTTAGATTTTCCCAACAAAGCACCGCCTCTAAGACAAACCAGAAGATGTCAGCATTAACTAGTCTGCTGCAGGGCGAGGTAGCATAATTATTTAATGCTGTGTGCCAGATATAAACTCCAGAGTAAGTTCATCTTCTTGTCTAATTTTAGACTAAAACTATAAATAACGCAGAGCTTTGCCATGAGCATCATGGATGTAGTTTGTTGACGAACTCAAATGTCCTAAACAAAGTCAAATTCAGTGGTTTTAATTGTTTTTTTTCTACAAGCTTTATCAAATACCTTTAAGTTTTGAATGTGGACACAACACATCATCAGCCACACATAAAAAAACCCAAACTTTTATTATCTCTTGTCTCAGGAATACAGTAGATTGCTGTGCACAGCACATACGTACAAAAATAAAAGGAACAAAAATAATTAGCAATGTCTGCCCACAGAAACAAATCACTACAGTTTGTTTCTTCTTGTTTTACAGTGATCAGCAAACCAAAACTAAGGCAGGAGGTGAGGTATATGAGAACAGAGGAATCGAGAACAGATGAAGCATGCGCCTCAAAACTCAGGCTGCTGCTGTACATTCAAACATAAAACGACATTTTCCCTACCGTCACTTAAATTAAACTAAAAATAAGATGTGGAAAGAAAAATAAATAGCAAGAAATTCTTTTTTTTTTCTTTTAATAAGATTTGGGTCAAAGCTGAATGCTGAGTTTTAAGTATCAAACACGTTTATTTGCTGTTGTTTACCGATCAAGATGTCCGCCTTAAAGTGCTACTCGAGACATCAGACTTCTTGATGTGCAAGTTTCACTTTTACTTTCTTAGCCTAAATCAAATTCCGAGGAATCTCCAAAGGAACTAGCATGCAGCCTCATCTACAAATTCGTATCTTTGTTTCTTTTAGGAAAGCTTCTTCGTCCTTCTTCGCTGAAGCGGTTTTACGTGCGAGGAGACGTGAATCCAAACGGCGTGTCAGCCTGAGGTCAGGACAGACCGGGGGTTTGCAGCAGCAGAGGTGAGCTCAGCACCTGCATCATCACAGACTGCATCAACTTTGCAAAGGTCCTCGCTAAAGAAACACCACCGCTTTCAGGAAAGAGCAGGAAACATGGTAAAACGATGTGCTTTTAGCAGTTACCAGATGAAATCCGTTGAAAAAAAAAAAAAAAAACTTCATCCAGTTCTTTGTGAAATTACTCAAGAACCTTCAAATTTGTCGTTTGTTTCAGCGTTTAACTGGGATTTTATGTGACAGACCAACACAAAGTAGCACAAAATTGTGAAGTAGAAGGAAGCAGGTGGATGATTCTTTTACAAATCATCTCATCCTTCACTCTGCAACCGATAACCTTCTGAAAGCATCTTATCAGTAAATACTTGGTGAAACAGCATCAAGAGACCAAGGAACAACGCAGACAGGTCAGGGATGAAGTAGTGGAAATGTTTAAAGGGGATCTGTTATGTAAAATTCATATTTTTTAAATATTTTTGTACTTCCATTTGGGTCTCAACTGATTTTGAAAACAGCTCAAGCGCTTAAAAAAAAACACAGCTGTCTTTTGGAAATTTTTTGGTGTCTGGAAAACGAGCCATTTCTAAAACCTCCCAATTGTTGAGTCACATTCATACAGATGGAAATTAGCTTATTAATGTTTTTTGCACCTTGTCTCTGTTTTAAATAAACCAAACTAACCATCCGATGGGCACTGTTTGTTACCTAGCAACCCCAGCAAAGTCCAGCCCGTTACCTAGCAACCCAAGTTGAGCTCCAGCTTGTTTGATCAGCTGATTTTACTGCTGCATGCACTATACAATGGCTGCTGAAAAACAGAAGTATTTTGTTGTTGACTTACCATCCAGAAACCACTTGCTGCATTCCTGTCAGTTGCGCAGGAGGCTCTGCTAATGCTTTTCAAAAATGTGCGGTTGTATAATTGTGCATCTGTTAGCAGCCATTTTCACGTGCGAGTTTAAATATTGAGTTTAAAGTGACAAAAGAAGCTTAAAATAGGCAGATTAAAATCTCATTAAGAACTATTTAAATGTAATGAACATGTTAAACTGATCCTAATCTGTCTAAGGAAGCATAATGAGTCACCTAAAACAATATTTCAAGGTGTGAACATAACATAGGGCTCTGTTCAATACGTCACCGGAAATGGTAAGGCGTATAGCACAACTACAAACCTACAAAACACAGCTCTTCGTCAGAACTCACAACCAAATTCAACAACAAACATGAATCTTTTTCCTTCCACTTCACAGTTATTCCCATTTGCATTGATATCTCACATACAGTTTGTAGTTTTAGCCGACACATGAAGGGATATGAGCACTTTTAAAATGATGATCTAAATTCCTGTTGTGGACAACAGGCCACCCTGACCACAGGCTGCTCAGTGACTCTGACCTTGAACTAAAAAAGGCTGAAATGAGAGGAGGAAGCTGACAGGTTAAAACTGGAATCTGAAAGGTTCCTCCCTGCAGCGGGTGAAGGTTGGGGGCAGCAAACAGGCAGAGGTGGACAGCGCAGCCTGTCAAGAGTTCAGGTATGTGGGGAAGCGCCCCTGTCATCCTGGCAGACCCGCATTCCTGCAGGGGGGGGCCAGTTTGACAAACAAAGACAGCATGCACACGTCTTTCCTGGGTTTAAATATTCCTGCTTCCTGTCGCACAGGAATGAAGCAGTTAACAGCTGCAGGAACTACAAGTAGATCCACTCCGGTGGAGTCTGGGGAATTCAGAGACCGAGGCGAGAAAAACATCTTTGGAATACTGAACGAGAATATCCGATTCGTGAGTCTGCAAAACGGCCTCCACCTTCTGCTTTGTGAACAAACTGGTGCTATTTATACCTAAAGCCCCTCCTCCTCTGTGGAGAAATAGTTAAGCCTTAATGTAGGTGCTGAGCGCCAAAATTGCATTTAGGTCTGAAAAAGACAGAAAGGCTGCAAAGAAATCCCCAAAAGCACAAAACCAAAGACAAACCGAGTGTTTTAAGTAGCATCATTGCTGGTTTCTTGTGCAGCCTTTTGTATTTTTTGTGCTACAAAAACGTCTTCTTTTAAACTTGCAGCTATTTACATTGTTTTCCATTTCCTTTAGCATCTAAAAGCTTCGCATTTCCAAAAAAAAAAAAAAACAGCAGCACACTCTACTGCTATTTGCTATTTGCTTCGTCCGCTCAGTCGATAATTGTGCAGAAGCAAGCCAGGTCCGACCCGAACCGTTCCCCCATGCTGTGGCACATACGGATTTCCACCCTGTTTTCTTAGCTACACAGTAAAACACCTGGCCTTGCGCCAGCCTCCATGGCCGACCGTTCTCCGGTCTCAACCACAGATTGTTTATTACTTAATCGATCTAATTACAGAAAAGAAAATAAACCAGAGATAGCCGACCCCCTCCTCCCTCGTTCCCCCTTTTCTGAGGCCCTCTCTCCGGAGCGTCAGCCCTATTTCTGACTCGCCCGGGTGTCTCTTACACAGAGGTTTAAAGGGGGCCAGCAAGTGGGAACACCAAGGCACCTTTAAATCGTGCAGGAACGAAGTAGTGCATTTAAATTTCTCTCTCCCCTCCACTGCAGGACAACAGTAACCAAGCAGTGAACCGTCAAGCATTTAAAGGTTTGAATAAAACGATAAACTCAGCGGATATTTGAGCAGAAGTCCATGCAGTCCTTCATCTAGTGAAGTGGTTCGTTGAGGTAATAAAAAGTATTCATTTCACTCTTTAAAAGCACAGCATTTAAGCTCATCCTCCATCTCAGAAAAGTAAGTGGCGTGTAGTTGAGTTTCAGCAAGCACCAAGGTAAAGTGGGACAGGGACGGGCTTCGACTCGCCCTGTCCAGAAAAACAATAAGCAGCACAGTTTGGCATACATTTACAAACACGGCTATCCAAATATACACATAAATATGTATAACAGAATAAATATTTGTGTTTTCCTTCGCAGTTCATGGGCGCGTCTGTCGTGACTTTCCATTTCTACATATTTGTTACCTGGAGGAACATCCACATGTGCAAATTTCTCTGAAAATGTCAGCTTCTTTCATAGTCGCGGGAGGAAATGTGTGACAGTCATGGCGGTGGTCGCCTTGTTGCCTCGCTTTACCCGGCCGTGCTTGCTCAGGCCGATGTAGAAGCCCTTGTAAACAAAAGACTCGTAGGCGTTGTAGTTGTTCGGCAGCAGCGTCTCCTTGAACTTGCACTCGTCCTTGAAGAGGCTCTGGATAAGAAACATTTACGTCAGTAAACATCACGAACCAGATGTTGCGTCTTTTCTTACTGAAAAGACGCAGCGTTTTTTCCAAATCGGCTGCATTAAATCCAGATTTGGTAGTAGCTCTTTGCGTTTACTGGAGTAACGTTTTGGAAAAGATGTGCTTTTAGGAGTATTTTTACTACCTTGAGACTGAAAAAAAAGTCTTACCAAGTATTTTTTCTAGTCTTAAATGCTTAAAAAAAGACAAAACTAACTTGTAAGTAACTGTTCAGCAACATATAGGAGCCTGTTTTAGTAAATAAATCCTCAATATTGATGGGAAAATGTCTTGTTATAAGTGAAATAATCTGCTTGTAGAACCAGTACCTTTTAATCAATATTAAATAATTGTTGACTTAAAACAAATTCATATATTTTGCTGAAAAGTTACTTGCAAGTTACTTTTGTCTTATTTCAAGTGTACCAAGACACTAGACCAAAAATAGTTGGTAAACATTTTGTTTTTGCAGTGTACTAGAGTAATTTTATCATCATGTATTGCTTCTCTTACTTCACTGAATGAAGAACAAAATTATTTTGACCAAAATACGTTTTTGTTTTTTCTTCTCCAAAGGAATTGCTTTGGAAAATATTTTCATTTTGGTCTTTAAGCTGCCAAAATTTCCAGATAACTTTATATTTCGGTCCGTTTGATGATGTTCTTTTAAATTATTAAATGTTTTGATGAGTGACTGAGTAACTTCTTGGCAGCTACTTTTTACTTTTACTTGATTAAAAATATGTTGAAGTAGCTCTGCTCTTACTTGAGTACAATTTTTTTGGTAATTTTTCTGTTGAATGGTAGAAAAATCATAAGAAATCAGCAAAATCCTGATCCTCAAACAACAAGATGTGAGTTTAAACACTGAGAATGTGTCAGATATTAACTTATTTAAAACAGAAGCTAAAAACCTTGTAAGGATGACGCTGATTACAGAGTTACTTTATTTGTACCAACATGGACTGAAAGGCCAATCAGAGAGGAAAAAGACAAAATTAGTTTGGAAAAGCACTGATGTTGGATTTGATTTGTCTCAGAAGTGGAAACGAAGTTGGTGTTTGTTTTGTTGCTAAATACTGTCAGCAATAAGATCCAGTAATTCTTTCCATCTGAAGTGTTCAAACACAAAGTAACATGTCCACATTGATATTTTACAGCATTATGTGGGGTCACTTGGTTTAATGAGGTGTAATCTATTAAAAGTGATAATAAATAGCAGCTTTTACAATGTTCTATATATAGTTCGGCCATTTTGGTGCTGAACTGCAGATTGCTCTGTGACTTTCCCATTCAGCGCTCTGACTCCGGTTCTTTATTAGACTGGAAACTGGGAAAATTTTAACTCCTGAATCACAAGTAGTGAGGAAAATACTGAGGTGTAACTGAGCATTTACTGTTATTAATCACTAGCAGTGGAGATAAATGTGTATTTTTATTATGTTTTTGAGAGGAAAGTATCAAATTTGCAAACAATGCCTTGCAGAAATTATTATTATTGTCAAACTCGTGGTTCAGGGGCCACATTTGGGCCACCATAAGCTTTATGTGACCCTCTGGATACTAGGGAGATTCATAAATAGTTCCTAAATATTGTTTTGTCTATCAAATCAAAGCAGTTTTTAATCTGCATTATTCCAAATTACATCAGTATAAAAAAGTTTGGTATTATTTAACTGAAAGAAGTTGTCATCGAATGCAAAGACACCAATTTATTCATATTTTAGCAGTTTAATTTGGAGTATTATCAATATATTTTGCCGCATCTTGCCCTTTGACCCCAAATAAAAATGAGTTTGATCTTAAACTTATTCACATTTTCCATGTTGCGGTCACTAAATCAATTCATTTCATTAGGATTTCATGCCACAAACAAACACAAAGTACAACATAATTTTTTTTTACGAATGATAATCTGAAAAGTATGGCGTGCAGTTGTATTCACCCCCTTTTACTGCGATACCCCTAAAAGAAATCAAAGGTTACTTTTGCTCTTTGAAAGGGTGAAATAAGTAAACAGACTCCATCTGTGTGGAAATTAATCTCAGAATGAATCCAGTGAACAATCAGCATCATGAAGAATAAGAAACCCAGCAGATAGCATCAAAAATCAGAAAGTATTACAGCTAAATTTCAGCTAACGCATTGTGGAAAACTAACTTACAAATAACTTTTCAGCAAAATAAAGGAGCTTGTTTTGAGTAAATAATTGCAAAGACATTTTCCCATGTTTTAAGTGAAATAATCTCAGTGAAATTAGAACTTTTTCATCAATATTAATTAATTATTTATTTAAAACAAACTCCTTTATCTTGCTTGGTTAGTTTTCAAGTGTTTGCACTAGAAACTAGACCAAATAAATGGTAAGATTTTGTGTTTTTGCAGTGAGGCGAACTAAGGGGGCTCAACGCCTTGAACAAACCATCCCCTCAGTGAAGCACGGCGATGGCAGCATTATAGTGTGTGATGCTAAACACTGGAGGTCTAGAGAGGAGGGAAACAGCCCTAAACATTAAACCAGCTACAATCCAATGGTTTACGATCAAAGCATAGTCAGGTGTTAGAATGGCCCAGTCAAAGGCCGACTTTAATCCAAGTAAGAATCTTTGATCAGACTTGAAAATTAATGTTTTGTCTGACATTTTACACATCTAGAAAGATGGTAGAGACATGCACCAAAAAGACCTGCAGCTAATGCAAGTGTACACCACACTTTTCAGATTTGTATTTGTAGAAAGGTTGAAACCGATAAGAATGGTTTCTTTTATTTCAGATTTATGTTGATCTATCTGATAAAATTGCTCTAATATCTGCTTTGCTACGGTTCTAAGGCCATATATGACAGGTAGTGGCTTTTAAACTGTCGACCTTTTTAAGAGAAACTGCAGATCTATCTCAGTTTTATATTGAGCTTTAACAAGCAACCAATGCAGAAATGTCAGAATCTTCCTCAAAATTTAATTTTAAAATATTTTTGTTATTGTTTTACTAGTCTTTATGCATATAGATTCATTTTTAATTTTTTCAAAATAAAATCATAAATTATCATAAAAGAAAGTTTTATGCCAATACGTTTCTTACAATTTCAATGACAATAAAACAACAATGTATCCATCTTGTTTTTTATTGTGACCTTACATTTGACCTTGACTAACTTTATTAGTCATAAATATATTAATTAACTGTGATTTAAGTTCCAAATAATAGTAAATATGTAGATTTCATGAGTAATGTTTGATATCGTCATCAAACTTTGACATAAAGTCGAAACTGATGCGTTTTAAAGAATGATATGGATAAGACAAGCGCCCCAAATCTTTAAAATTATTTAAAAAAATATTGAAAATAACATCTATGAAACAAAAATATTACAAATTATTGGAAATAAATGACAAATGATGAGTTTTGCAAGAGTTTGACTAAATTTGATTAACTTTTTAGAGATTAGAGATTTTTTTTAAACCTAAAGTCAAAACTAAACAAGTGTAACATTATATTTCTGTTTAAAGAAACCAGAGAGCAGATCAATTTTTACTTTTAAGAAAGCAATAAAATATATTCTATAAAGATACGGAGGTATATTGATTCAGAGTGCTGCATCATTACAAAGATAAAATATACTTTTCTTTATTATTATTTCTATAAATACATATTGTGTGCTTTGTGTTTAAAACTGCAATTATATGGATTATTGATTGATGCTAGTTGGTTATGAATTCACTTTTGAGAGAAAGGATATGCTATATTTATTTTTTAAATACTCCTTTTGTTTACATCAACATTCAACTTGTTCATATTTAACTGTAAATGAATGAAATAAACTTTTTCATATTAATTTAAGGCTTAAAATCCACATCATTTAAGGTATTTTTGTTATTTATTAAGAACTTTTAATTCCTGAATAAACATTTGCAACTATTTTGTAAACATTTAATATCAGTTAAATTACATTTCAACAAATATTCTCTTAATTAGTGTTGCACATTTTAATTTAACCTCCTTCTTATGGCAGATTGATCCATTAAAAAGCCAGAAAAAAAATCTAAAAACATAGTTGAAAGCATTTTTTTCTGTTTGAAACTTATTCTGTTTACTTTAAGAAGCATAATCAGCATATAAAATAAAAATGGTTACAACTCCCCACACGTCTCTACTTAAAAAATACATTTTTAAATAAATCAATTTCTTGTACAATCATTGTTTTTTCTGTGTAGGTTCTTCTGATGGACAGTAAAAAATAAATAAAATGAATTTCTAAATGAAAAACGTCATTGTGCTAAATATTGAATGAAATAGTTATAAATGTGATTAATAATATAGACACAAAGACGTTTTTGGGGAATATTTGAGGATTCTGACACTATTGAATGGTAAAACTGCACTCCAGAAATCAAAATGACAGAAGGATTAAGCTTTATAAATACCCCAGACTGTGACATTTGCAGCAGAGATTGCACATCTCATTGATTCCCTCTCCTCTCCCGTCATCACGATGTATTAATGACAGAATAAAGCAGCGGATGCAGCAGCAGCAGCAGCAGCAGCTCTGTGTGAACTCCGCTCACACTCAGCAGGATGTGGGACTGAGTTGCGCACTGTTACGTACCGTTCCGTACAACCTTCCTCTGCTGTTCATTGCGACAAACAGCTGACTCCTCACCCCGAACAGGCTGATCACCCCTCGGTCCACCGTGGAGATCTCTATCAGACCTGAATGAGACACAATGTTAGAAGGAGGCAGGGTCAGTGCGACGCTGCGCTTCGGGACAAGTTGAAGTGGCCTATGCAGCAGTGATGGGTGTAACCTTGCAGGTGCACTGCGACTCGGATGATGCTCGGTATTGAGTGCCGTAATCAGCTTTTTGCATGTTAGACATTGTGGGTGGTTTACAGCGTGCTGAGAGCAACATGAGTGTCCTGCAGCGGGGTAAAAATAAGTCAGCGTCATGCATTCATGTCATGTTTTCGAGCTGCACGGTGCTGTTGTTTTTGCTTTCGGAAACTTTAAACCAAAATATCATGCAAGGAAAAACCCGGCTCTAACTTTCACACAGCTACACTCGCTTTCGGATGCATTTTGCAGGATGCAACTCACTGTATGGGTTTTCACTGTGCACACCGCTTATCCTGCCATCCGGGAGCACCTGCAGGTGAAACCCAATGCCCACGTTGCAGTACAGCCGCCGCACTCTTTTGATGCCCTGCAAGTAGTCGCTCTGCCAGTTCAGCTGCGATCTGCCCCCGTTTACACCCAGATAGGAGCGGGAGAAAAGCGTCTCCCACTTCCTTTCTAACAAAGTAGCGTTAGTCCTGTTCGGGGTCGGGAAAGAGGAAGCGATTGCCCACAGAGAAGTCCACAGAACAATAACTGCTGGCAGCGTCCAGTGCGTCTCGGCCCCGCTGCGCATGCTGTAGTGACACCTTTGCGCAATGGCCATCCAGTTTACCTTTGGGGCACCTGGTTAAAGTTACCTGCCCTAAAAAAGCAACTCTTCTTATCTTCTGTCCTTTGGCATGTTGGCGATGAAGGTTCAGAGTTTGTGGGTCAGAGTAGATCAGGGCCCCATGGCCCGAGATCTGAGCGAGTGGAGAACAGAACGCGTCGGAGCTTGGATTGGTGCCGGTGGCGATGACCATCTTTCGCCGCTCCGCGTCTTTGTACAGGCAACGCTGGCCGTGGAGGGGGGGCACCACTCACTGCAAGATCAGCTCACCTTGCCCCCTACTCTCTCACATCCTCAAATGACATCACTGTGACTTCACCGCTGCATGCAGCTCCCCCATTACGAGTAGGAGGTGGGAGGAGGAGAGAGCTCCTGGACCTCAGCAGCACCAGCAAGTCTGATTGGAATGATGGGGGGGCTGCACCTTCACACCAGCCTCAGGCAAGTCAGAAGGACTTACAACCAGAGCGTCCTCCGGTGCTTTTCAAAATAAAACCTCATGCTAGTCAATGACTGTGCAAATATAATGTTTGCCACATATTTCTACAGTTTCATGGTTAAAATCAGCAAATTGATGTCCAGCAAAATTAAGCAGGTAAAAACAAACAGCAGTTTTCAAATTATTTTATTTAATAAAACAAAATAATTATATTAAATAATGCAATATAATTATTTTGTAACTTTTACAAAATAGTTATGTTTTTTCATATTTATTAAAACTGTCATCATGTCACAGTATAATATGAGAGATAATCTGGAAAAAATCTAGCTATTCCTCCTCCTCCCTGAGATACTACTGTCTGCAAATGTCAAAAACAACCAATAAGAGCCAGGAGCAGGGTCTTAGCGTTGACAATCATCCTCATGTACTCTGTGGAAATGTGCTAATGGTGGAAGGTGGCTATGCTAACTAGCCTTAGCGTTAGTGGCAGGCTGTCTTGTGGTGAACCAGCTGAGAGCAAGTGGGCGGTGTGAGCATGAGGGTGATTGACAGCGCTAAGACCCTCCTCCTGGCTCTTATTGGTTGTTTCTGACAGAGTAGTGTATTTTTTTGCAGTTACTACTGGGAGCACTGGGAGAAGACAGAGGAGTTAGAGTTTTTTCACAGATTATCTGTCTTATATTGTTACATGATGATCATTTTAAACAAAAGTGTAAAAAAAAAAGAAAAAAAAAAGATATTTTACCAGCTTAAATGATCTTGTTTTAACACAGTAATTCCTCAACATGGATGAAAAATCCAAGTTATTATTTAAATAATGTATAAGTGGAAGAAAACTTTTTGACTTATGGTAAAAATGTCTTGTTCAATAGCAGATTATTTAACGTATAACTTGCATTTTTCATTAATATTTAGGAATTATTGACTTAAAACAGGCTCCTACATCTTGCTGAAGAGTTACTTGTATATTAGTTTTGTCTTATTTCCAGTTCACTTAGATATTTACAAACTAGACCAAAAATACTTTGGAAAATGTGTTTTTGCAGTGCATGGTCAACTTTCTTTCAGCCAGCTGACTGGCAGTCTGCTACAGGGGACGGGAAACGCTGCATTATTAAACTTTTCCTTCCTTATTCTGAATGGAAGCCAGTCTATTTTTTCAGTCTTCCTCAATATAACAGAGCTAACTTGACCTAGATCCTCCTCACATGGGAAACCTTCAGAGGGTGTCTGTAAGAGAGAGAGAGAGAGAGAGAGTTTGGCTTTTATTGGCATTGAGCAAGCATTGGAGAGATGGATGGATACTGTGTCCAGGGCCCAAATCGGGACGGTGGTCATATGTCCTGGCAGCCTGCGGCCTTATTTAGAAGGAGGTGTAAAAACAGTCTCGGGGGAGCAAATGGCAATCCTGTCCGACACTTCCCTCGCTGTTTGTCCAGGAAGTTTACACAACCAAAATATTCTCCCAGGTCAGATTGCATATTGTTGTTATTATTGTTGTAACTAGCGCACTGTCCAGCTCAAAAATACAACCTCCATGGATCAAATTCATGGAATACTTTTGTGTTTAGCTCCACAAATCAAGTTGAAATCAGACGAATAGACAGATAAACGTCGACCTGATGAACATTCAGCAAAATTTAACCATAATATGAAGTCCATTCAAGAATTACTTTTTGCTAGGATCACTATATATACATGAATGAAATCAGATTTTTATTTCTATACATATATAGAAATAAAAATCAGATTTCAAAAAATGTCATTCATGAAGAGTAAAAAACAAAAAACTATTCAACCAACCTAGCTCTGTGTGAAAAAGCATTGTTCTCTAAACTCAGTAAAAGGTTGGCAGCTTTTGTGATTACCAGTCTTTAACATCACTGTGGATGTATTTACATATATGCATTTAATTAATATTTACTTTAAAAAATGTCCTCTAAGTATTAAAGATATTTGCAGTAGCCTGGGTTTAGATAATTAACTGAACATTGTTGTTTACATGTCAAAGATCTTTCGGAAATTTATGATCCTTAAAGCCAAACAGTCACAAAATCATACATATGTACAAAATAAAAAAATAGATCAAATATAAATACTTCACCCATTTCTATCCATGATATTTATCTTCAGTTTTTAAGTTATTCTGCAGAATCTGAAAATAATCCCCTGTCAGCTTAAAATGGAAAGTTTATGACAATCTTTAAGTTTTTTCTTCCTTTGAAAAGGACGATTGGAGATATGTCGACAGGCAGAAATTCCACCGAGGAGTTCCTCAGGGTTGTGTACTCGGTCCTTGGTTATTCCTAAGATGATATGAATAAACCAAAGTGAGCTAATTAGGCTCATATATTCACTCATGTGTTCATTCTTTACTCAGTAACTTTAAGGTTTCCATTTTTTCATCATTATCATAGATAGTCTGAATGCTTATGCTGTAATTTGGGGTTTGCAGCATATTTTAGTGCATCAAAATCCAAAACCAAAAGTTGTTAGAAGCTGAAATGTTTGTTTTTCTACACACAGCTTTCATAATATCAATTTATTTTTACTTAACACAAACAACATGTGCAGTGTGTATTCTACAATGGAGGTAAAACCTGGTAAACACCAGATCATTTTTCATATTCCTAGTTCGTAAAAACACAAGTTTGTCGAAATTTGTGTTTTACTCTTTTTATTCCCCAAGGGACAAACTATCCAGATCACACTGAGTAACAAATTAATGAGACAGGCGTTTTATTTGCCGCATCAGCACATGTCTATGCTAACCAAGGCAACCAATAGCCTGAATAGACAAAACTACTGGGTTATTGACAGAGTGGAACCTGAATCGATGGACGGTGTGGCTGTTAATGAGACGGTGCTGAGCTCTTCAGATTAACTCAGCTAATACTGGGGTGATGCTGATGCTGCTCTTCAGTCATGACTACTTTCAATAATTAAAAGAAAGGTAATTAGAAGTAAATGCACGCTGATGGAACAAGACATTTAGATATTATATTTGCACATGCTTTAAGAACGCAGATGAACATGGCCAGAAATGGACCAGAAATTAAATTATTGCCTAATAAACTAGGAAACTTTGTTCTTACTTCCTGGAGCAAAGCCAGAGTTTTATGCCTGAGTTCATCCCAGCGTCCATCAGGTTTGAAGAGCTTAAAATAAAGTTCAGTTTGTGTGTGTCAGGTCCATGAAAATGACCGTTCTTCAGGAAATCCTTCTGTTATTTCATCTGGTTTGGCCTGAAGGTCGTCTGTATATGAATGAATGTTTTAACCTGATATCACAATGTCACCAGCCACATGTGATCCAGACAATTTCTGCTCATCTTTGCTGTTTGGCAAAGATCCCATTATTTTATTACCTAATTAAGAATCTGTATTATATTCTGTTGTAACTTGCTTAAACTCTAAATGCTTAGGAATGTTGAGGCTTTTATTTTGTAGTTATCTATAAGCTTTAGAGCTATTTCCATCACTGCTTCAGTTTCAGTAAAACAGGAAGGCTTTTATTTTAAGTCTTATTTTGAAAGTCCAAAATAGTTGTCCTTCTAGCTCTGGTTCAGTTCTATTAGTAATAATGGATGTACTTTCTATTCTTAATTCACTGCAGTTGCTGTTAACATCTTTAAAAAATAATAGTAATTTTGGAAAACTGAGGCTTTTATTTTGAAATTAACTGTAAGCTTTATTTGAAAGGATATTGTAGACCCATTTCCATCAGTGTTTCAATTTCAGCAAAACTTTATATACTAATTCTGCAATAAATGGCTTTGTTAAACAGGAAGGTTTTTATTTTGTAGAGCAAGTTTAAGTTTTATTTTGATAGTCCAGCAGAGTTGTCCTTTTAGTTTTGGTTTAGTTCTATTAGTAATATTAGCCACATTCACTATGTGAGCTATTGACGTCGTAAAAGCTGAACAACTGGAAAATTAAGGCTTTTATTTTGACAAGTAAACTCTTCCTAGTTTATTCAGTGGTAGATTTAGGGTCAGTTTAGACTACACACATAGCAAAGCAGTCAGGTTTAAGTAACAGGAGAGAGAAAGATGCAAAGAGCTTTCAATCAGTATTTTATTAATGTATGATTTGGAAAATGAAATATTAAAACAGCAGCTGGGGATACGCAGGCGAGAGGGGGTTTCTCTGGCATGACTTCAGGATCTCTCAATAATAATCGGCACAGCTGAGCAATAATTCATGATGCTGCAAAGCTACACAGACACACGCGTAGAGACAGAGAAACTGTTTATAGTAGCAGCAGCAACATGTCAATTAATTACATTAAATTTAGGTAATTAATCAAGGCGATGCATGAAAATGTCATCCCATTGACAACAATAGATGGCAACTGAAACTTTGACCAATTAACTCAGAAAATGTCTCATAAAATCTTTGTTTGCCACTCAGAAAAGTGATAAAATGGACGTTACAGCTTTAAATTTAATGGGATAACAAGGTATCGTATATTAAGATGTATTTAATATAAATTACTGTTAATTTGAATGATAAAAAGGCATCATTTTATTTTTCCATACTAAATAAGACAGAAAAAGATGTTCAGTTATTTTAAAGCTATTTACAGCGACCAGATTGACAGGGATTATTTGTTTGCAGAATAACCAAATAACAAATTAGTGTAAAATTTGCAGCGTTTTTATTGCTGCGCTAATGGAAAACACTTTGGTTCAGTTCCACTGTCCTAAAATGCTATCAAAATAAAATCTGATTGATTGATTAATTGCAGTGGTGGGAAGTAACGAAGTACAAGTACTTCGTTACTGTACTTAAGTACAATTTTCGTGTATCTGTACTTAAATAGATTTAATAATGGATACTTTCTACTTTTACTCCACTACATTTTACAGTAAGTATCTGTACTTTCTACTTCACTACATTTCTACAAAACTGTCGCGTTACTCGTTACATCCAAGTCGCATTGAGCCTTTTTTCCGTTAAAATGTGAAGTTCAGGATCTTAAGGTGGCGCCGTAAAATCCGAGGAATAACGTGACTTAGCGTCTGTCGTCACCCATCGCCTCCACCTTTACTCGCACGCGGAGCTCCAGACATGCGCAGTGGTTTCCTCTGAGCGGAAGAA